GAGATTGGTAGTGGCTATAGAAGTCTATAAAAATGATGTAAGAAATTCTTAGACCTTGAGTAGATGTCACATAAGAAGACAAAGTTCTTCCTAATTTTCCATATTTGAAGACACTAAAAATCTTGAGACATAAGCTCCAATGTTTTGTTAAACCTAAAATATCTTGCAATTAAAAAATCATGATAAGATTAAAGAACACAAAGTTGCGTTGGTTCTTTTAGAATATATATACAATCTTCAAAATACAAAAGAACTTCTACAAACTTAAACTTATTATTGTCAAAGCATTGCTTGATATTATGAACTAATAAATCCTTACCTAATTTTATACAAATTTGTTCAAGAAAAATTAAATCAAAAAATATAACCATAGAAGTAGCACAAAAATAAAATTATTTTGGCTTCAAAAGAGAGGTACATTATTGACCAAAGCTTGCTTGTCTAGCCTTTGGAATAAGATTTGATTTCTTTAATAAAGTGTCAGATATTTGTTACTGCTTTTTTTGTTGATATATAATCAAAAAATTAAAATAAGGTAATGACATATTCCAACAAGCTTAGAAGTAATTCAAAACCCATGTTGATATGAAATAATACAATTTTTTGTGATTTTTACATATAGTCACAAGATGTGTAGTATCTTCCAAGAAATAATGCGATTCTTGAAAAGAGTCTACAATCACAAGAAGCTCTTTATCATGAATTTCATAATTATTCTCTATAATTGAAAATTTTCTATAGTAGAATGCAATTAGATAGAACTTTCCATCTTTTCCGATTTGTGATAGTATAGGTCATAATTCAAAGTTGGAAGCATCAATCTCCAAATAAAAGGTCTTTGTGAAATCTAGATGTAGTAAGATTGGAGCTATAGTAAAAATTGCCTTCAAATCTTAAAAAGCCTTTTGAGCTTGAAGTTCCTATTTTAATTTATCTTTGGACGTCAACCAAGTAAGAAGAATAACAACTTGGAAATAATTCTTGATAAATATTTGATAGAAATTAAAAAATCTAAAAAAACAATGTACATCTTATACTTTCTTTAAAGTTTTCTACTCCATTATATCTTTGGATCCATCAACAATCCTTCATTGGATATAATATATCTAAAACATTCTACTTTTGGCTTATAGAATATACATTTTTTAAAATTTGGCATACAATCTTATATCTCATAAGTTTTGTAAGACAAATATCACATGTTTTTTTATATTCTTCAAAAATATTAAAATAGATTAAGATATCATCAAGGTAATAGATATCAAACTTGTCTAAAAATTCATAAAAAACATCATTCATTAAATTTTGGAATATAATTGGATCATTTGTCAATCTAAAAGGCATGGTTTTATATTCAAAATGTCCATATCTTATCCAAAATGTTGTCTTCTATTCATCTCTTTCTTTAATTTATACCAAATTGTGTACTCTATAGAGATCTATTTTAATGTAGATCTTAGCTTGATCAAATTGCTCCAAAAGCTCTAATATTAATGTTAATGGATAACAATTTTTCACCATTATTTTGTTGAAGCCACAATAATTATCATATCTATGTAAAGATTCATCTTTTTTCTTCATAAAAAGTATTAGTCTGCTTGTTCAAGATTTAGAATGCCAAATAAAGTTCTTTGCAAGATTTTTGTCAATGTAATCTTTCAATATTAAAAGCTTATTCTTTGATGGATTGTAGATTGGACCAAATGGTGGTTGAGCCCCTTCTTGCAGTATAATGGCACAATTACATGGTTGATGCTTTGATAATATATCACCATTGTTCTTTTTGAAGACATCTTAAAACTCCTTATACTATTCTAAGATAGCTACTAATAAGCTTGCTTCTTCATAAGCTAGAATTGCATAAATAATAAACGGCATTTTCTTCTTGGTTGTCTTTATAGAAGCTCTTGCTCCCAAAAATAAGAACTTTATTGTTCATGACTTCTTGATAGGTTTTGACCAAAATAATTCTATGTAAATTTCAATCTTATGATACCTCTAATTTATAGATGGATTATATCTTTCTAACTACAAAAGTTCTAGAATAGTAGGATTGGATAAGATTCTTATAATATTGAATACTATTTTTCTACTATAACCTTCAAATAATATTTCTAGTGATATGGTCTCATGAGTAATATTTCTTCAAGTTAAAAATCAATTATATATTACTTCTATATATATACGTTTTGACTTTTGTACTAAAGAAATTTTAATGAAATTTTAAAAATTCCTTATTTAAAAAGCAAGCAAATACTCTTGAATCTAATAAGGCATTTGCTTGAAGTTTTTGTGGGCCAAAAAATAATTGTATAATAAAATAAGCATGTTGGGCAAAGAAAGAGGGACCTTAATAAATTTGACAAAAGTTCGCAAGTGTTGATCTTGATGGCATTAAAATAATTGATTATTGTACTTCACAACTTGGTTGATAGCTTCATTGAGTATTAAGGATCAGATAATGATAGTAATAGGTCTTTTACATCATCCCTTAGTCCCCAATAGAATTGGCTCATAAGAGTTTATTCATCCCAATTGATGTCATAAGCCAATTGTGTAAAATCGGATTCATAAATTGATACAAAGCGTGATCCTTGACATAATGAGCAAATTTTTGTTGTCGCCCATTGAGCCTTGTCATATTTTTCAAATACCTCAACAAATACTTCTAAGAAAGCTTCAAAGTTACTTAAGATTAGACATTTCTTTGCATATAAAAGAGCAAACCAAGATAAGGCTTATCTTGTGAGCAAGGTTCCAGTTAAACCAACTCGTGACTCTTTTGTTGCATAGCGCTCAAGTTATAGAAAAGTTATCAATTGAATTTGGTTAATAAATATTAGAAACTTCAAGCATATATCATCAAATTTTTTTAGAAGACTAATCCAATGCTCCATACGTTGTTGAATAGGTGAGTTTTTCTGTTGAGATATATATGCTACCACCTCTTTGAATGTAGAAGCTTGAAAAAGTGATTGTATCAAAGGTTGACCTCCTCAAGGTTTTGCATCACTATAAAATCTTTACAACAAATCTCTCAATTTCAACAATTCTATGACATAAAGCATTTAATGTGTTTATAGTTACATCTAACTTGGACTTGAGAGACTCATCCAAAGTAATATCTTCACTTCTAGCCATTCTGGAGGAAAAAAAAAAATCTAAATAGTACCAATTTAAAAGATGATACTTGGCAATCTCTAAAGCGGTTAGATGTCTTCAAGCAGAAGGGTAATCGATTCTCTATCAAGAAATATGCTTTATACTAGTAGTTTATGTAGTGAATGGAATTATAGACACCTAATGATAGCTTTGGAGTAAGTTCCACATAGTAGATAGATAAGTAGGTAGAGCATTTGGCTAATATTGATCCTAAGCATAATGGACAAGTTTGCATTTATGAAGAAGTATTTCTATAACACATAGATGTCTCCTTTAAAATTTCATTTTTTTCTTTTAAATTGAATTTTGCCAAAGATATAGCCATTCAATTAATGCTTTTTAGTCTTAATTTTTTTAACTTAGTACTTATGTTTTCAGTCTTAATACCTATTTTAGGAGCTTTTTATAATTTAATTTAGCTATTTTTTTTGGCTATTCATTATTTTAATATTAAATCATAAAGGTTGAAATTAATATTACAACTTATATTTTATTAGTTTTTTGAAGTGATTTTATAAAAAAAATTAATAATTTAGTCATACAATCATTTAAGCTCTTATATAAAATAGTAATGAAATTCTTAATGAAACAAATATAATTTGATTATTTTTTAACCAAATATACTTGCAACATAAAGTCTAGTAAAGTTAGCTTTGAGTTTATAGTTAAAAGAAATTATAGAATGAAAGAAACAAACAAAAGATACAAAGATAAATAATTTTTTTTTGAAATAAGTTATCAATTCAAACCACAAGCAAAGCTAAAAAATAATGAATATTCATGAACTGTCCTCTTCTTTCAATGTACTTTCTCCACGTCCTTATGTGATACCACAGCACATATGTCAACACATACTCTTAATGATTCGTCTTATTTTCCAAGAATACATACAAATTTTCATTTTCAAATTCAGAAACATTTACTATTCTATGAATTATTTATTTTGTCATGGTATACTCTCTAGTTAATGTGAAACCTAGTCATCATATAACATGTTATTTCCACGTTTTAAAATAAAATAAAATAATAAACTCGTTGTGGTAAATAAATGAACAAGAAAGAAAACACAGAGAAATTGTGGAGTAAATAGAGATTAGCAACACTTCAAGTTAAAAGTGTTGCTTTCGGGATTCATCAGCAATTTGAATGCAAAGAAGTGACTTACATGCAACTGCACAGTACAGAAAGGATTAAAAAAAAAAAAAAAAGACAAAAAAAAGAGCTCCCAACAGTACAAAGAGTGCAGCATGGATGACATGATGTACTGGAAAAAGGGCAAAAGAAACAACAAAGTTCCTATACAGATAGCTAAGGTTCTGGGTAGCCTATTAATTCTGGGGCTTTCTTGGAGCATTCAAAGCTGCATTCTGATTGTATGATTGCCAAAGTGATACTTGAATGAATTTTAAAAGCGACTGATCTTAACAGGTGGAACCAGTGGTCAGTCTGAACTCTGTACATACAGTGCAGTAACAGCATCTTTGTGAAGGAAGACTTATTGCTCTAGGCTTTACTGCAGCCTCTCTACTCTCCCTCTCTTTGTGCCCACAGCTACCAGACCCAAGAGGAGCACTCTCCGCCACTCTCTTGCTCTTCCTTGCTCTGTTTAACAACACTGAACTTGCAAACACCAAACTTTCTCTAAATCAAAATCAAATGGGAAATAAATGGGAAATGACCACGAACTAGGTAAGCAAGTGAAACTGCAAGTTAAAGCATCCCAGGAAGAAGAGGGTATACACTTCTCTACATTTGAAACAAGGTCAAGTATTATACATAAATAAATAGAAAGCGCAAAAGATTTGAAGTAACTTGCAAAAGATGTGTGCACGCCTGTGTCTGGGAAAAATAGAAAATAGATGTAGGATCCAGTTTTAGAATTTATGCCGGAGCCTCCAGTGGTACAAAGCCAGTTGACCACTAGGAAAGAATGTTGAAACATACACCAAATGTGGAGAGATCCACCTCCACCAATTGCTATGTTACAATGACTCAGAGTCTCTACAAATATGCACATGGGTTGATTTCTTTTTGCACGATACTAGGTTATTACTCTTTAGTAGATCCCATAAAATAATATTGCTATGCCTGCTCTCAACCAACTGACAGCCGACGTTTATTCCTTCTACTGGGGCTAGCTATCCATCTCACAAGCCAAGAGAACTTACTGCAGATGGTGTGCAGCCATCAGTGTCATCCTTGTGTTCGTGGTCTCGTCGTCATCGTGGAAGTCACCAGATCCACATCCTGGATCAATGGAGGGAACTCTGTATGTTTGCTGCCATAACCTTCTAGAGATTCCAATTCTCTGACCACTCAAGGCAGCCAACTAGTTTCATGACGAATCATCTATCAAACTGGTCAGAGAAAAGAGCCATGAGCCGCCCGCACTTGCTTTCAAGGCCAGGCTGGTGTAAGACTCTCCTCCTCAGGTGCCCCACAAGCTCAAGCTCAACGCTTGAACTCCTCCTCAAGCTCTTCCAAGCCCTGCAATCTTGCAGGTATCTGTGAGGTGTAGAAGTTGGGATCCAGGCTATGGGGTGTCTGATCGTGGGTCCCAAGCTCCTCCTCCTGCTGCTGCTGCTGCTCGTGGCCTCGAGCCTGCTCTTGGTCGGACCGCATCCCCGGGAGGGTATACCTCATGGTTCCTTGCGAGGGACGAAGACTGCTGCCCGGGAGAGATGGGCCTAACAACGGGGATGAGGACGGCGGCGGGCGTTGGGCGATCGACGCATACGAGGGTGGGAAATAATATCCAGACGGCGATAGGTAGCTGCCACTGGAATAGTGGAGAGATTGATGCTGCTCGCTAATTACGCTTCCGAATAGGCTGGCTCGAAGGGAGGAGGAGGCAGGGCCGGGAGAGAACCCAGGCAACGTCATGGGTTTAGGGGTGTTCATTCCCTGGGGGTTGCTGCTGCTGTAATGGCTGGGCGGTGGAGGATTCTCGACAAAATAATGGGAGACAGAGGGCAGTTGCTGCTGCTGCTGATGCAAGGATGGCTCAGCTTGGTTGTAGGGTGTGGGGGGAGGATTGTAATGCCCGCTGTATACGAAGGAAGACTCAGAGAAACCGTAGCTGGATGCATGGTAAGGAGTAGCAGCAGGAGGGGGAGGCCGTGAGGGAGGGTGGATACCAGTGGAAGCATTGAAGGCAGGGGACGCTTGAAATGGATGTAGAAGCGCGCTGCTCACCTGTGAGGGGAGGTTCGCGTACGGGGATTGGACGAGGTGGGGATGTTGCTGCTGCATTCCTGCGGATGCGGATGCGGGCACATGATGCGTAACCATGCTTGAGGATATTCTTCCAGTTCCTGGATCCCTCTCCGTGATGTGTTTCTCCTTGGCTCGTTCCCGAGCACGCTCGCGGGCTTTGGCTCGAGACTCCACACGGGCGGTGCCGGAGCCCCCAGCTTGACTGTCGCCAGAGCTTCCTGCCCGGAACAATCCAGCTTGCTGTTCCAGTGGAAAATTCAGACCATAGCTTGCGAGGTGATGGTGTTGATGTTGGGGACCCATGACTGCTTCCATTCCGTGACCAGTGTGGCCGAAAGTAGACATCATTGCTGGCTGCCCATGACTGTCGTAGGTCCCATATGATGTGCTTGAGGATTCGGGTAAGGGGGCAGCGAGGACCCCGGGAAGGCCAGCTGAGAAGGTGGAGACGGTGGAGCTAGTGGTCTGAGGTTGTTGCTCAAACGAGGCTGCAGGCTCCCCCTGCCGCACGGACGGAAGCTGCTCGAGCTCATCAATGGCGGCTTTGGCATGCTTGATCAACCATTCCACTGCTTTGCTGGGCTGGTCGAAGCCAAGCCGGTCTTGCACATCGTAAAATTGAACAGCGGTGGGAACTGACAGCCGAACTCTTCGGTCTCTGGGCCCTTTCGCTGTGTTGACTTTGCTATGACGATCCTTCCCTCCAGAGGATCGTGCCGCTCGGGCCGGGCGGGTACACTCGGCCCCTGGAGGACCACTCTTGCTGGGTTGGTCACTTGGTCGCGCACGCACTCTTCTCTCCTCAGATGATCCCTCACCGCCCCCTCGTTTGGACAGCCCTTCCACTTTTTCCGAATGCTCGGTGCCAGAGATTGATATTTCGTAGCCAGCTATCTGCTGCTGCTGCTGTGGCTGACCCTGCCTAGCTGGCTCCGCCTCCGATAAGCGTTGACGACGTTGTTCTTCCTCTTTCCCGCCTCCACAGGAAGCAGATTCACCCAGACTTCGAAATTCGATTGTTGTAGTACCGTTTCAGTTGAGCCACTACATTGAACTATCCGCCTAAACTGAACCTACTGCAAATACTCCACAATCTTGAAAAGAAATTCCTCTCCTCCTTTCTGGCCATACCCTTACGCAGGACCTGGCTGTGGCAGTCGAAACATCATCACTGCAACTTTTACTCTTCTGCACTAGCTATTTAATCTGGATAGTGACGGCTGTCGCATTAACCAGTACGTGTATACCTCTTCCAACCAGTCCTTCATTTTGCAATTTACTGGCATAACAACCATGCCCAGGCACCTCTTTACACACTATTCTCAGAAGGCGATTTCTAACCGTTGAAGACGCTAGTCCTCTCCTATCTCCGGTGCTCACTGTAAACGATACTGTCATCATGACTATGAGCCTACCCTATTCTAGAATTGATGTCCAGCTAAATGAATCACACATTCACCTGCTGCAATCAGCTGTTCCGTCCTGTACCGACCTCAATCACAAGAGCAGGTGTTGAGCATGCCACTCGTTCCGCATTTCAGCTGGCAATTGCATCCCGATTACAACTTCAGTCCAAGCGTCCCGATAAGTGTCTGTTCAATCACTGTAAAGTCCTAATTCGTAAAATCGATATGGCGTTCCGCGTCATTCATTACTTCCTGCAATCAACATGGAGGCCGAAAATCAATTCTTGCAATGATTATACTTCTCCAATCTCGAGTTCCGACTTAAGTTCGTGAACCAGGCCACACGTGACCAAAAATTGATTTCCTCAATTTAAGGATCGAAACATATTTTGCCTAAATCTTTGATTTATTCAGCTCTCCACAACCAAAGACGCTCATATCTTTAGGGACTTCTCAAGCAATCTCGCCATGCATTTGATGGTTCCCACGCCTGCATGGCTTTTAAAATTGTGACTTTCTATGCATCGTGCTGCCGAGAGCCTCATAACACTGCATCCCCCAAGGCTCCCAATGAACAGTGGTCCTCAAGAACGTAGTTAATCTTGCGAATTTCACGTATTCGATGTCCGATGAGCAATAACTACAGGTATACAGCAGAATTATACTAATCACTTCCTGTTTATAGCCACGACAATGAAAGTTCCTTCTTGGGGATCGGTCTCTCCAGCCCTGCTCCCCAGAAGGATCAAGGGATCCCCGAAAATTAAGTTACACAACAAAATTGACTCACTCCAAAGACGTCCAAACGCAATGATCCATCAACTTGCACAAGTACGAGTTTGGCAAACGTATGGAACAAGTAGCTATTACGGCGAGTACTAGTTCCAAAGCTAGCTCAGGGTAAAGTCAAGATTTTCAAGTTCAGTGTTGAATGGTACTTCACCTATAACTTTCATGACGTCGACGTCTCAACATCCTTCCTCGTAAAGCATCTTCTTCTCCTGCACCATCCCAGCCATCGCCAGTCACCTCATAATTCTCCTGCGCCTCCAATCACTCCTGTTCTGGACATCCTCGCTCTCTCAGCAGCAGCCCCATTCATCGCCCCTAAAAGTCTACCCTCGTCAACAGATACCCACTAACACTCATCCATCCAGCAGCTAGCGCCCATCACCAAATGGCCTGGTTACCCTTTCTCCAGAACGCCAAATCAACAAACCATTGATCTACTCACTCTCACGCTTGGGACTTAACCCGTCACCAGCTCACTGTCTAGAGCTCAGCAACGTCGATCTCACACGCAACCCTACCATCACGCACGTCGCGAACTCCGCCCGCCGGCACTCTCAGTACCACCACTACCACGAAAAATCCAAACTCATGGAACGAACAGAACAGGCCCAGCCTCGCCCGTCCGAACTCAACCACACGTAGAATCCACGTCCAGTAGCTGCGCCAGGATCATGACCAGCACAAGAGCGGTTATCCCAATTGATCCGTCTCGGCCAAGCTCCGCACCATCACCCCGTCCATCGCAGCGACACTGCGACTGTTCTCCTGAAATGCTTCACCACGAAGGCCAACCAGCCACCCAGCCACCCAGCCACCCAGCCACCCGAGCGCTACCTCTCAAAAACGTCGCTATCGCACTCCCTCCCCACCTGAAAAGCTGCAACCACCACCGGCTCTCCCACTCACTCATCATGCGAGAAGAAAAATGTTGCTCCAGGCAGGCGGAGAAATATTGTATGGGTTCGGGCGACGGGGAAGGCGTGACCAAGACAAGAGGCGGCGATGCATACGATTTTCCCGCATGCATCGTCGTTGTCCACCATGGCAGGCCATCTTAGTAGACTCCGCCCAGCCCAGGGCCAGGCAGCCAGGCAGGCAAGCAGGGGAGGGGTGGGGAGCGGGGGGGCAAGGGGCGATGCGGGGATGTCACCTCAGCATAATCTAAGTTCTGGACCACCCGGCAATCTCCTCTCCCATGCAGGTGCGCCCGCTTCGGCGCCTCCCAGCCATCGCTCCCCGCCCCCGTCCCAGGCCCGGCGCGGACCCGCCACTTGCTCCCGCTCAGCCATGGCCACCCACCTCTCCCAACCTCCTCGGAAAGCACGACCCAACCTCGAACGCATGCTCCCCCACCTGCTGCCCTCGCTGCTGGGTGGGGCCTGTCTCCCCCACGCCCTCTCCTCCCCTCCTTCCCTCCTTGTTGCTCCGCGGGGCCTTGGCGCTACGCCCCGCGACGCCATGTCACACATCGGACACGGCCCTGCCCCAGCCCCACCTCCGTCCCCACTCCTCCTCCACTCCTCTCGTGGCCTCATGTCCTCCTCCGCCTCCTCCGCTTCAGGTCTTTGCCCGCGTCTGCTGCGCTGCTCGCTCCATTTGCATGGGCCTCCCCCTGCCCTCCACCACCCTAGCCATGACGGGTCCGCTGGGAATGTCCAGGCAGTGCGGGAGCAGGACGAGTTGGTGGCGCAGAGTGTACCCCATTCACTCATCCACTTATTCATTCGTTCCCCTCGGGGGTGGTGGTGGTAGTAGTGGTACTAAACCAAGGAAGAGGAGGACCTGAAAGGCTGTTCCAAAGTCCTAGTTGAGCCTCCATTTCTGTCATCCATCTTATCGTTCCTTCTTGCCTCCTCATCCCTCCCTCTCCCTCCTCCTCCCTGTCATTCTTCCTTCGTCTGACTTTGGGACTTCAATCTTTCTAGTGTACATGCACATGCAAGTATGGAATGCACATGAGGTCATTGTATGTGCACTCCATCCATCTCATCTCTCTCTTCTCATTTCCTCTACATTACATTTGCTGTATAAACAAAGACCATTACACACAACACATTGAGTGCTACAAATCAATCACAAAGTATGTAATTTAAACCAAATACAAATGTACACCCAACACACTCTCAAGGAAACATTAGAAATTTTCACCAAGCTAAGTCAAGGTATTTCTCACGCCACAAAAAAAGAATCCACAAATGCAAGTGTGAAAATAAAAGAAACCCTAAAGCTTTATTAAAATGGCTAAATCACCATAGTCAAGCAAACCCTTATAACAAGTTCTTTCACAGTCAAAATCACTCACAAAACTTGACTTGATAAGAATGTCAAGTCAAGGATTTTTTTTCCACCTAAGTATTCAAATCCTAATTGATATGAACATAATCAATTAACCAAAAAACTATCAATAGATGAAAAACCATTTATCAAACTAAACTACATATATTTGATGAGATTTGGCACTTGATGCCATATCATGTGGCATATTATATCATGCATTATATGAATATATATGATATTGCTAATGTCACCATAGTTTTTCCTACTACTATAACAATTTGCCATCCATCACATGCCATTATAGTCTTTGCTACTACCACCACAACTTACCATTTATCACATTTTATTATAATTTTTGTTGATGCCACTATAAAAAAATTTAAATTTATATTATATATTATATTAAATTTTAAAAATATTAAAATATACATCAATAAAGAATTTATATTGTATTCATTTTGATGTGCATTAATAATGTATCGTAAAACATATTTTGATATGCAACATAAATTTAATGTAATTTGTATTAGTATTAGCAAAAATTATCATGGCATGTAGTAGATGGTAAGTTGTAGTAGTAGTAGACAAAATCGTGGTTGCATTAATAACACTATATATATATATATAAATAATTCTTTTATTATATGCTTGTTGTTCTCGTTGTGTTCAAGTTTCAATATACCAAAGCAATTGAATTAATAGGGGTGGATTCGAACACGAAGAAAGACTTGTTATATGAATTGGGTCTGTTAGTGTCACAATTGACTATATTCTAGCTATCTAAAATCAATTATCAAATTACAAAACACTAAAGCTTACTACTTCCATCTTAATTCAACACATAATCCATTCTACCACTATCAATTCAATAATACTTCCATATTCTTATCCGTTCATCTCTCACTTACTTTCTTTGCAATTTATATATATTCAATTACTGATCTCCAATTTACTTATTATATTCAGTTTGTTAATTCATGAGATAAAATTTAATATCTTTACTTAATTTAACAGAATTCGATAATTTCAATTCTCGAGGTCACAGATTTTCTCCGAATTGGTCAGTCCAAAGTCATATTTCACAATATTCTAATCACAATTTCAAGAATACTTCTTTCAATTACAATTCTTCATAAGCAAATAATAAAAGCAAAGAAAACAAAGAGGTAGCACCAAGCTTACCCAGGCTTACAACTCTCACAGTTTGTCCTCCCGGCTTACGACTCTCATAGTCTAGTCCCTTGGTTTACGACTCTCATAGTCTGGCTCCGATCTTCCACTTCTCAACCTCTTTATCTTACCAAAAGATGACCCGTTGGCCAACAGATTCCAAAGGTTATGACCCTTTGAATTCTTAACTATTTGTTCTACTAACAATCTATTATTATCAACTAAACTACCTAACCATAAGTCTAATTTTCAAGGTTAACAATACCCAACCAGTAACTTACCACAAAATTTATTTACCTATTCTACATAGCTCCACTCCTAATTGTACAGCGCCCTCGTAAACACACAATTGTTACCTATCTAGATTTAATAACAATGCTTCATTTGGATCTTTAATAGTCGCATTTGTGAACAACTCTGGTTTTTGATAGATTGGCGATGTAAAATAAAGTGTCATTGTTATTGGCGCTATTGCTTGGAGTGGTGTAGCATTAATTGGTTGTTGCAACATAACATTCTTTACATTGGAGGTAGCCATTAGTGGATAATTATCCATCAACACATTTTTCAGTTGTATTTGTTGGCTTCTTGAATTTAGAATCATCATGGCCCCTATTGTTAACAATTGGTCATAATGACATTCTTCCCACACCTTTGCTCATGCCAACGATGCCTCTACCATAGTTGGTCAAGGCTCTTTTATAAACATTTTCAATTCTGATGGATGCAAACCATTGATTAATATCAACAATA